GTTTTTTAATATTAATACCCCAATAAACCACGCCAGGAACCTGTAAATTTTGGTTGCCCACAAACATCAACCATAACAAATTAATCCCTTACTTCCTACCTAGAGCCCGTAATGTATTGTTTCTTTTTAGTGCTGCGGCTAACTCCACAGCTCCGTCATGACTGATCTGGTTATTTCGAAGATCCAGGGCTTGTAAATTATCGTTAGATCCCACGCCATCACAGAACATGGCAAAGGAGTTATCTAACAATCCAAAGGCATTCCACTCCAGGCATATACTGAAATCAGCCAGGTTATATTAAACTACTTTGAGTTCAGTAAAGCAAAGTGTATGTAGTATTGTTTGTTATGATATTACTAAATATGCATGTACAATATATCCACATACATGTACATATACATACATTTATATTTTTATGCATGTACAATACATCCACATACATATATTCATATTTTTTAATGTTTAAATTTGCCACAATGAACTGAAAGTGCATTAAACACCAACACTGACAAATCAAGAAAATCAAGAAATCTGAGTATTTTTCTACCTATAGTATAGATTAAACAGATAATTCTGGGAAGTCATTAAAACGAAATGTTTCCAGCATGTGTAAGAAATACCCTTCAGATGATCTATGGATATTTTTCAATTTAAATGATAAAAATAGATTTCTGAAACAGTAAAACTTCCTCATGCATATTATTTATCACAGACTGGCTTTCATTTAATGACCGGAGGGAGGATGGGGGGATTATTTTACAATTTTACATTAGAGTAATTCTAAGACAAAAAGCTCTCTTGACACATTAGAATTATTCAGTTTTTCCCAATATCATAAAGCAAATTTGTCCCCATCTGCTGGATCTATTAGGATAGTTAATTGTATTTACAATGTACCTTAGAATGGTGTGGTTGTGTCTCACATTTTTCCTATGGCCTCCACTCCACTGCCTCTGATGTTGTTACCCTGTATATAAATAATTTTCACATGTGTTCAAATTAAACATGTTTTAAAAATTTTACATCCAATGAGATAGAGAACAAGTGTTTAGCCAAATGAACCACAGCTTCATTTTGGAAAGCTTTAAGCATGAAATATTTCAAGTTCATAAAGGAATGCAAAGAAGTTCATAGAATGGCATGTTTATTTTTAAAAGGATATATCTGGAGCATATACCATATTTATGTGTAACTCTCCTTTCATCATTTAGATTCACACCTATTATATAATTCAAAAAACATACAGACTATGTATTTTCCACTGCACTCAACGATTACCTTCAAGTCAAGCATTTTGCAATAGGAATTAGTGGTAAGTCCATGGCTCAGACCTTTCACTGCTGCAAAAAGAAAAAAAAAGAAATCAAGAAAAAGGAATAAGGAACTGGTCTATTCAGATATTTTACTGGTAAATTCTTTACTTCAATTATATTTAAGTATGATTTGTGGACAATATTTATACAAACCATCTTCACTAAGCATACAGTCAGCAAATTTTATCTCCACAAAGGTTCGATCAGTTGCAATAACTTTTCCTAAAACATGACATGTTTTGGGGGATAGGCTGTTGGTTGATAAATTGAGCACTGTTTTGCCACGCTTGGGTGTAGATTCAAAACTGAAAGAAAGAATTTATAAATACAAAGAATTGCAACTAAAATGAGCTTGAGGGTAATTCATTATGGAATTTTCAGTTTTTATATTAAGTTTGACAACAGTTTTGTCTAGTCTTCATAATTCATTGCTTCCAAAAAAAGTGTCAAAATTGCTGGGGGTTTCAATTTTTGAATATCATTACCTTTTTAAATAACTGAGGACACATTCCTGTGGCTCTACATGGTTGTCTTTGCCCAGTCTTATGTAAGTGTACCGAAACTCCTCCATCACAGTGACTTTTTAATGTACATATAAGACCATTTAATACCTATCTGAAAAAGAAAGCAGTGTATAATTCAAATTGGGAATCATTTTGTTTCTTGGAATTTAGGATTTTCAGGAAGAAATACACCACTCCTATTATGTGAGAAACATGAAATGGTCCAATATTTCTATCACATCATGGCTAAGACTGCGAAATATAATCTTTGCTACCCAAGGGTTTCTGATACGCTACTCTCCTCATAAGCCCTTGGCATACGGTGTTGAAAAATCAGCGATAGTTTTTGTGAATGACGATATCTGCTTCTGGGACATATTTTGACTTTTTACTCTCAGGAATGAAAAACGCAAGAATTAAACAATGATCAAATGCCATTCTATGAATAGATATGGTGTCATCAAAATTTTTAAGATATGTGCAAAATAAGAACGAATTTAGAATCTATATTGAAGATGTAGATTTGCACATTAAATAACAATTGAAGAATCAATACCTTCTTGTTAATTACTCTTTTAAAACTTTCATGATTTTGAATAATATATATTTCTGTTGATGATACACTTTGTGCATACATGTACTTTTTCACACGTGAGATCATGTGATTAAAACAATTCCGTCTTTTCATGGCACTGTGTCTGTATTCCAAGGGATTAAGAGGAGAGTGGCGTATGAAAAACCCTTGGCTAGCAAAATGGTGAAATACTGCCAGGGCATCTATCTTCACTAACGGTCTAAAATTAGTACAATATGTCATGTCAATTTTACTTCTCCCCAACAGTCGGACAATATGGGCTCAAAAAATCTTATTTTTCTCCACATTCTCTCTCTCTTTACAATTTACATGCGATGTTGATATTTATTTCGTGGTTTAGAATTATCTATCGCTGTTTTTATTTTTTACTTAAGCAATATGTAGTATAAATTTTATCACTAAATATATATTGTATACGATCGTATAAATAACACAAAAATGTGTTGAGACATGTCCCAGTTTCAAATCTTGTGTCTGATTGTAGCAAGATAAGCTAAATTCAATGTTTTTCCTTTGAATTAAATAGGAAAACTGGTCAAAATTCCTCTTGTCTCAACCCATTACTTTCATAAAATTATGTACTACCTTAACTGACTTTTTAAAATCATAAACACGACAACAGAATGATTATTTCCTCCATTTTTAAACATTCGAGTTGCCGCGGGTCTTTTGTTGTTTTCATTTCAGAAGAGTTTCTTCTGTAGCCCAAGCCCGATGCATTATATGGCAAATAAAAACTTACTTGGTGCCATCCGTCTAAAACTAAAGGCTTTTTTATTTAGAATAAAATTAAATATTGGTAGTTTGTTTAAAAGAAGCAGACATTATCGACCAAAACTAACCTCCTTTTAAAGGATCGGGATCGTAATGCCCATTGAATACCTTTCTTAGGGGTGCCCCAAAGGTAAAAATTACACGGGGTAGATTGTGGCTCGAGTATCACTATGGCGAGTGGAACCGCCTTAGTGGCCAGAAGGCTCCGTGAGGCACAGGAATCACAATCTCTTGGTATGAAATTTGTTATGTGTAAAATTTAAAACAATTATGAAAACGAGATATTCTTTGACTACCTTGTTATGACGATGTATATTTTCATACAGCTGACATTGGGTGCGTTCACAGTTCTACCATTAGTACCAACTTTCAATATACCATTGGTACAATAATTTGACAATGGTACCAACTGTACCAATAAACCCTGAACGGGTATTGGCATACAAATGTAACAATTTTACCAATGTTACCAATGGGAGTCCAATGGAGACATTGGTAATACTGAATTACAGATTTCTTTGTCTTCTAAGTTATTAGCACATGCCAGAATCGCAAGAAAATCATAGCAGACTCATATCCGACAAACAAACCACATTAGGATCACACTTCTTTAGTTGCCATATCTATGAGTTTTATATAATCCATTTAATGGATCATGTCTAAATCATACTTCAAAATCATGAATATAAGTGTTTGATATGATTTTTATGTGATTTTGGCATGATTTGTTAAAAAGGATTAGAGGAAAAATCGTTTATATCATTGTAAATCCGGGATCCCAGTCTTTCTAGCTTGTTGCCATGTCGATAACTAGCTGTGACGTCATTTACCAACACTAACCACACTCTAGACTGTCTGCAGAAAAATATACCATTGGCAAAAAACATTGGTACCAGTGGCATGCCAATGGTAATTAATTTTACCAACGGCAACTTTTGTCTACCAACGGCAGAACTGTGAACGCACCCATTTTTATTCATCTAGTTTTTTATGTGTCAAAGATGTACAGAAGATCTATTTAATGTGTTTGTTTTTTTTTTTTAATTTCCAAGTATTAGGACACAGAAGTTTTATAAAAAATGCAGATTTCTTTCTCCTTTTTTGTGCCCCATAATCATGATAATTTGAATCTAAACAAGAGGCGGATCTTCACTTTCAACCCACGTGGATTGAACTCGATGCGAAATTCATGTAAAATACTTTTATAAATAGTTTAGATCTGACTTACACTAAATCTGTAAAATCAACACAATTTTTTTTAAGTAAATCGCCTGTAAAAGACGTGGTGTGAATGATATAAACCAACACAGCACCAGACGTTAATTTTTCTTTTAATAAAAAAAATATATATACATACCTAATTTTATTAGGACCCACCCCGAAAAAAAATCTTCCAATGTTTTTGTCCAATGGATTCCTGAGAGTGCGTATCTTACAGACACATCAAATAAGACTTATATTTAGCAGACATAAACAATCAGGGTATAACATGTTTGCACGGACCCCCCCCCCCCCCCAAAAAAAAAGAAATAGTTAAACAATCTCCCAGTTCTAGAGTTTGCAAACTTTTTCCTGATGGAAAGTGTTTTGTATAGCGCATGACAATGGTCACCATTTTCTTTTTTAAACATTGATAAAAAGAATATTTTTCATGTAGTTCCTGGACGACAAAATAAAAGTTATGATTTATCCTATGCAACGATTTGAAGACAAAATGTGTTTCAATTAATTTTCCAATCGTCAATCTACCGTCTCCGAAAATCCCATTGATCATACATGTCAGACACATTTTTTAAGCTACAAAGATAGGTTGCCTCCCTTTCCTCGTTAGAGCTGCATGTAACATTATGCTGGTTTATGTTTTTGACATGCTATGGTGTTCTTTAAAATTTTTTTCATATTATGCATTGAAATTTGGCAAGGGCTCCTACCAGAGACGGATCTGAAGGGGCGGGACACATTTAAAAACAAACAATTAAAAATGTGTTATTGTTTGAATTCTATAACAAATGCTCATGGACAATTTTTTTGAGTTTCCCTTAAGGGGGATGTACGGCCACCTTTAGTGCAGTGTAAACAAAATGTAAACATTTCATCAAATGGCTAAAATTCATTATATTTTGATCACATTTTAAGTCTTTATGATAAAGATACAGTAAATATGCATAATTGAATGCATGTTTTGCATATAAAATCTATACTTTTGCAGAAAAATGCTTTTGATGTGCTCCTTAGAACTGCGCAGCTACAGAATTCAGCAGAGCCTTAAAAAATCCAAAAAAATATGCGAACTGTGCATTAATGTTCTCTCTACAATCATTTGTTGAGAAAATGTCTAAATTTTGCATTTTTAAATGATAATTTCAGGCTCAAAACAAGGTACCATTGTCTTCAAAATGAATGTAAAGAACCATGAAAGTAGTTCATGGATAGCAGCACGTGGTCTATTTTTAGCAAAGAATTTTGTTTTCCAGACCTCTTCTTAATATGGAGCGACATAACAATCTTTAAATGTAGAAGAGAATTACAGTTGCAAAATATTTCAAATAATATGAAAAATTTAAAAGAGGAAATGTGTTATAATGTAGCTTAAAGTAATTTATTTAGTATTATTATCGAACAGTTGTTAAATAGTGTACGTATTGATATAAAAAGAATCTTAAACTCTTTGATTCCAGGTAAGGAAAAAGGAGTACCATCAAAGTTAAAAGTTAAGAATTTGTAAGTCTGCCACAGATAACGTATATTATCTATCAAAATTTTAATTATCACTTATGAAACACTAAGAAAATTAGACACATAAAATCGATATGAATGAACTTGTTTTAGTACCTAATAGTACGAGGGGTGATCAAAAAGTTCGCGAACTATCTCTATATCTACAAAACCACAGTTCAGATTAAAAACAAATTTGGAACACACAGAGCCATACACAAGTTCTATTAATAGCTTATGCTGAAAAAGTTTTGTTCCTTGTTTATGACGTCACAATGTGAAAATGACGTCACTATGCAGGTCAATTGTGACGAAAAATGGTTGTCTCAGTACTGGAACTCGTCCAACAAACGACTGTAATATTTATGGTATATCTTAAATATTTTTCTATTTGCCCATATTGTCAAAATTACACTTTTAAAGAAAAAAAATAATAACACACATATGTAATTCAATATTTTAGACCAATATTTAAAATGACGTTTGACGGTCTTCCAAACTCAGGCTATGGAAAAATTATTTGGTCCGTATTTATAGGTGAAAAAAATTTTCCTGATAATTTAAACACATGGTCGACGGAAGAAAAAAAAATCGTGTAATCAATGGGATATAAAAAATAAATTGAGTTGGGCAATTTCTAGGCAGTAGGGCGGGAGAGAGGGCAACCAAATTTTTATTTATAACAAGTGGTTTCATAAGGCTAGTACATGTTCCACCACATACATAGTAATGCAAAATATTTTAAGCTTGGGCACTATTTTGAACAAAGGATTTTCCGGGGGAAGGAGGGGGGAGAGCTTGCACCCACTCTTTTTTGCAAAGATAGACAAAGCATATGCAATGGACCTTTCTTTGCAAACATTGTGCTCGCTTTTAAATTTCAAAGAAACAACTTAATATATTTTATCAAACTTGGTATGTTCAATGAGTGAGAGCTTAATATTACAACGTTGTCAACATATAATGAGACATAATGTGTTTTATGTCCAAACATTACTCCATACAGTGTTTGAGTCATTGTAAACAAGCTAGCTATTTATGTGAGGTGCCTGAAGGAAAACCTATAACTGCCTATATATTCTTTACCATTTTCAAATTAAATGCTAAGCATCCTCCTTGCAGTGCCCCATTTGAAAATAACTTCTATCGCCACAGAAAAGAGACCCGCCGTAAACACATATGTTTAGGACAATTTTTTATTTTTTCTTGAGTTTTACAGAAACCTACAAATTATCAAGACTTGTTCCATGAAAAATTAATTATAATCATGGTAATAAACGCATCAATTTACAGCAGATATATGCACTTGCCAACCACGTGCTAATGTGGAATGATATTCACGAGGAAACTCGAGCTACAAACAGAACAGTTTTTCCCGATTTGCTGGAGTGGGGTTAAAATCGCTTTTTGTCATTAATCAGACGATGTGATGCAACAAATAAAAGTAGTAAGTTATATAATCTAATGATTATTACTTAGTAATTTCTTGTCTTGGTGTTATTATGGTCGCATTCATTCTAAAACCAATGTTATTCGAACTCTGTGAGACAGAGGAATGGTGGACTACATAAATACATGGCCTCAGGAAGACCCCCATATGAAAAATCAAATTTTCAAGAATTAAGGATAATTACAAGAAAAAAGCGAAACAAATGGTTGTAACCATACTATCAATGAATCGAACCGACATCATTTTCGATACATTTGTCATCTCGTGAATGCTGTAGCTGCGCAGTTCTAACGTGATTAATTTCCTCCTAATTAAAACAAAATAAACTTAATTGTTTACTGATTTTGGTCTCTAACAGTAGGTAATGAGTGCATTAGCATTTTGACTAACTTTGGGCTAATATAGAAGAGTATTAAGTGCATTCTTGGCATTTCTTATTTTACACCAGACTTGATCCAATATGGCTTGTACATCCCCCTTAAAATCTCTGCATTAAAATACCTTTTAGGTAAGAAAGAACAAGTCCCACCCCACCTACTCTAGAGATTTTGAATCCACCCCTGCCAACAACACGATGCCATTGGCATTCACCAATGTTTATGAACGAGTTAATTATTCTATGCATGTTTTTTTCCTGTAGATTTATCTGGATGTGACTTGACTAAAATCCCAGATGCTGTGTACATGATGCTAAAGTCGGTAACCGTCAACAAATGCACTATGGCCAGCAACATGCTCACAAAGATCCCTCCAAAATTCCCAACAAATTTCACAAGTTTAACAGGTTTTGTATTATACATCTTCAGTTCTACACATTCTTAAATGTACTCAATTTTTTTCATAGGCCCTCCCTTTTTTTTTTTTTAAAGATAGACATAATATAATATATATTACCCTAAAAATTTTTTTTAAAAAATCACAGGGAACTGAAAATAAAAGTATGAACATGGTTATATATTGTATTTGTTGCAATGGCTTCTTATTGATTTGTTTTTATCCTGAATTTTTTTAGAGCTGGATCTAAGTAAAAACAGATTGAGCCACTTCCCGCCAGATATGCACATTATGCAAAACATCCGGGTCTTGAACCTTTCCAGCAATGACCTGGCAGACGTTCCTCATTTTGTGTACTCACTGTCCAATCTTCAAGAGCTCTTTCTACATGACAACTGCATAATGTGTACGTGTAGTGCCATTTTATGTATAGATGTCCATGCTTTATTTTTTTTCCGCAACCGACACCTTCTAATAATTCGTCTTTTCTTTTTTTTTTTAGCTATTGATGTGAGTCGGTTAGAAGACATAGAGGGTTTGAGAAACGTTAACTTACAAAATAATCCTATTTCTGACGACCTGAAATCACAGCTACAGTCCTGTGCTTTTACAGTGTTGCTTGGCAACAATTCCACGTCCTAGCAACACTTACCTATCGCTTCTTTAACTTGAGTACAAGATTGAGAAATTACATGTTTGTTGAATGTTGTGAAAATGAGGATTGGATCTTGAACTTTTGTTAAAATAATATACATAAAATATGTTCCGTTTTCATTTAAATGTGCATTTATACACATATATTTTTCTGTATGTCATATTTATAAATTATTCCCTAAACTGTTTATCATTTGAGAAGTATTAACTAATTATGTACTGTATATTTCATGTTTTTTAGATGGATTGTTTATATTAATTATTGTTGGCTTATTATTGTGCAATAATCTTTAACAAAATTTAGAATAAAGTTTAATTTTCTAATTTACCCTGACATGATATGCTTCTTATTTTATCTTTCCAACTCCTTGAAGTAAACATGCACACACCCATCCACCCTCCGAACCACCCACACACACATACACACCCTCCCTCAACACCCACCCCGACACACACCCTCCTTCATATAATGAAATAAAAACCAAAGTATTTTATATAACTTTTTTTCAGTTATTGAAAAAAAACTACACAATTGCGACGAATTCTCCCATGCTAATCAATACGTAGCACCGCGACCCACGAAGAGTAACAGGAAGATAACGAACAGCAATCAAGCGTCAAAAACATCAGAGGTGGGATCAGGTACCATGAAGGAGTAAGCATCCCCTATATATTAATAGGTCACGTCTGTCATGATCTTGCAAAGGAAAAAAAATTAGACATTATCTGTGAAAATAATGGCCTTACATGTGTAATGAAAAGTGTCGCTCAGCATAAGACTTAGTGATATAGATTGTACTTGCTGACAAGGTCATTGCATCGACCACAGAATTTGGTAAATGTAGACTTTAAACAAGACTGTCGATATTCTTGTTTCATTAACTTATTAAATCAAAAGCTTTCTTTATTTTAGAAATTTATCGTTCGTTATGCATTTTTCTAGTATAAGTGAACAAGATGTGTTACATTGTGTATATTATTCGCTTGATATGACAATAAATTTTATTTTCAATGACTCAGCGAATACTTACCGAGGTCCTTGTTTTCAATCGATTAAAAAAATGTGATTTTTTTGTAGACGAAGGCTTCCTAGATGATTGGTAATGGATAACAGAATATCTAACATTGCAAATGTTTTATTTCAATGGAGCATGTTTGATAACAATAGGTAATACATGTACTTCTGAAATGTCTACAATTGGATTTAGTTTGTACTCTTGTACTCCGTGCATGTGGTAATATGAATGAGATTTTATCAACTTTGATTTGGAAGCACACCATGTACTTAGATTTACGCCAAATATGGGGGCTGTTTCCTAACAGAGTTAAAAACTTAATGAAATTAATCAGTCATAGCCGACAGGTTCATGTATACATTGACAAAAAAATTACAAAGAAAGCAAACAAAATAGGTTAACATAATCCGTTGAACTTAATACGTACGGACGAAACTCGAGACTGCATATTAGAATCTATCAAGATTGAATGGTTGCTTTGCACGATTTGATTGACATTTTATAAAATTGGAGTAGGAATTAAGTACTCCAATGAATAGTAGGAATTAAACAAGTTAATTTGGTACAGAATGGAAATGGCAACTGTGTACTTTATAATTGTCTGGAAATGTTTTCAAGGAAACTTTTTTTGCAATTCATGACTTTATGATAAAAAAGTTCAGATTCATTCTCATAGATTTAAACATATTTTAGAGAGCATGAATTTTTTTGCCACAAGAAGCTAACAAATTAATATTATGTACAGTTCAAATAATAATGCACCGATGATATCTCATTCAACAGATACATCCAAAAATAGCTCTTCAGAGCTAATGGTTTTTTTTTTTGTTTTTTTTTTTTTGATTTACCCTACCTTAAATAAATATTGTCTTTACCTTTACATATTTACATAATTTCCTCAACATTTTCTTTCTTTACTCAGGTGTATTAATGCATTTAAAGTACATGTGTTTTAAATTTAACAAAAGTACATGTACAACAGTACAATCAAACTTTATTCTCATAAATTCACGCACAGAATTTGCATAAATGTACTGAAACAAACTTACAAAATTTATTCGCTTTAAAAAATGCAATGCATGACCTAATATAAACCTAAGAAGAATATTTATAACTTATTTCTTTCTTCAGCATGATGTCACTACATACAATCCTATCTTATATGAACTTTTTTAACTAGTTCACTGAAGGTATGATTATAAACCCCCAAAATAAACCAAGACAACTGGAACAGACCAGACGCTAATTTAAAATGCGTCTTTCGGTATGTTTTAGGTCATCCATTACCCTATATCTTAGGCGGAATGGTGCGCATATCTTGATAACATATACAATGAAGCGCATTGAAGTGGTACAATGAAGCGCATTGAAGTGGTAAAATTTTCCGTTTGGATGAAACGTTCTGAGTCATATTTTGAACGTCAATTACAACATAATGACACGCCCATTTCTTTAGAAACGAGAAAGAAATATTCGTCGTAATGTTTTAGGACACCCATTCTTCGCGACAAGCAATATGAGTTACACTGAAATGGAGCTTTAAAAAAAATAAGAAGAGAGAGTTAGAGACTCTCCGCTTCTGTAAAACACAAATTGCAATGAATATGTACATATTTTTGAACTTATCATGTCTATTGAAGTTACCACAACACATGTTTCGGTCGAACACGTGTTTACTTGGTATTTATTTAGACCGTCAATTTCATTGGCTATTATATTTATGGAAAACCTGTTCTACAGGTATTCTAATAAACAAATCGACCGTTTTATCCATTTCTAAAGAAATGGGCGTGTCATAAGATGACAATAAACGTTCTAAAGATAGCTCAAAACGTTCCATTTGAACGGAAAATTTTACCACTTCAATGCGCTTCATTGTAAAATTTTCAATTTGGATGAAACGTTCTGAGTCATGTTTTAAACGTCAATTATAACATAACGACACGCCCATTTCTTTAGAAAAGAGAAAGAAATATTCGTCGTTATGTTTTAGGACACCCCACTTTCCGCGACAAGCAACATGAGTTACACTGAAATGAAGATTTTTAAATAAGAAAGAGCTATATATAGAGTCCCCGCTTCTGTAAAACACACATTGAAACGAATCTGTGCATAATTATGATTTTATCATGCTTATTGGAGTTAGCATAACATGTATCAGTCGAACACGTGCTTACTCGGTGTTTATGTAGACCGTCAATTTGATTCGCTACTATATTTATGGAATACCTGTTCTACAGGTATTCATTTGACCGATTTTTCCTTTCTAAAGAAATGGGCGTGTCTAAAGATAGCTCAAAAAGTTCCATCCAAACGGAAAATTTTACCACTTCAATGCGCTTCATTGTAACTTTTTGACAAAGCAACACAAAGTATGTGAGGTTTTATGTATCTTGTTTTAATGTATGTATATGCACAGAGCCATTGGCTAAATTTACAGAATAAAAATTGTCAAGATTTTAACAATAACTACTCAGAAACGCTTTTTAAAAACATTTCTTGACAATTATCTGGTATGTATCATAGATATTTAAACAACACGTATATTTTCAGAGAATTTTACCAAAAATTTAAGATATATGAACAATTACGTATACAAAAACAAAAACAACTCCAACATATATGTGAATAAAGAATTTCTTTTAGTTTGGGGCAACTGATGGCTGATATAATCGTACTTTTACAACATTTTTACAGCGTTAACATATAGAGTGTACCATGCGGTACTCGATGACTGAAAACGGTATACATTGTAGTGTTTCAATCCAATATAATGCACAATGACAAGGCATTTGCATGCCTTCAGGTCAACAATATATTAAGGTGGCTGTAGAACAGGGGAATAGCCAGAGCATTGTAGAAATGATATTCGCCAGTCATTTACAGATCATCCTCATCGGATGCGTTCTTATCCCCTTTCTTATCGTCAGAATTTTTGTCTGAACCGCAAGTTGTCAATAATTTTTCGATGACACTTGATGAAGCAGTATCGTCCAGGAAAGAGGCATCGTCGTTTTCTTTCAATGAAACATTGTGCAAGTCGCTTTCAGAGTGTTTCGTTTGCGCATTATCATCGTTTGATTTTCTCCAGTTTTCTTCATCCTCATCTTTTGTTTCGTCATCACTATCATTGATTTGCCACTTGTCGGAACTTTCCTCTTTGTTGTCTTTTGCCCTCTCTGATTGGCAGATACCAGTGTGCATTACCTTCTCATTTTCTATTGAAAATGCACCGAAACACTCTCTTTTCTCAGACACCTCACTTTCTTTTTCTTGTTGCGTTTTACCTTCGTTGACTCCTTTTTCTTCCTTAGCTTCGTCATTTTTTCCACTACAGTCTTTCTCAAGGTCCAAACCTTGACTTGGTGAACTTCTATCGAGAACAAAATCTCTGGCAGAAAAATCGTACTGTTGACTTCTTTTGCAGTATCGTTCAACAGCAGCTCTGTATGCTTGGTCCTCATCAAGGTCCATCAAGGATCTAAACACCACAACACTTGAGCATGCGCTGTCCTGGTCATTGCTCACAAGAAAAACCTCTTTTAGATGTTTCGATGGATTGGTGCCGTGGGTAAACAGCAATATGGCATCATGGAATGACTGTACGCAAACATCCAAAGGAGCAGCAAAATAACCTTTAAAAAAGAAAAAGGTACAGGTGAACATGTATTAGTATATTATTTTATGATTGAAAAGATAGCAAAGAACATGATATAATTACAGTGCTTCTGTACAAAACAAGTGTCTTACCAGCACCGATAATCGGCATTGACAAACTGCTGAGCCAGATTTTATCAGCATACTGAAAGCAGTTAAGGTAGGTACAGGTCAACAGATGACAAGACTGTTCTGGACTGTCTTCTCTCCAAGAGGGAACAGCAGCGTGTAGAATGTAAGTGACCTTGGGGTCAAGGTTACCACCAGCACATGTATGTATAACGTCACCAAATAGCAGGTTACCATTTTTAGCAACGTAATCGGCACATTCTTGTTTCATTTTCCTGTCAGCATTCCTAGCTATCACAGCAGATATTCCATAAAGTGTTGATAAATCTGTACTGGCTGGACTGACAATTGCGTCCGACTTTTGTGTGAGAATATCACCCATAATTAGCTTCACGATGACTCCACCTATGGGTGTTTCGTGCTCCAAGGCCAGCTCAGGAAAGTCGGACTGACAGAGAGACATGCCCATCTGAAAGTTTCTGTTCGGTGGTGGGAAGGCGGTGTGAAGATTTCGAGAGGGTGGTGGCGGAATCGGTGGTGGTGGTGGTCTGTACCTCCTTTCTTCGCCTCTAACCGAGAATTCCTCTGGAACTCGTCGTCTGCCTTTGATGTCGTCATCGCTGTCCGAGTCACTATCGTAGTTTTTGAAGACTTGGGGTGTTTTCTTATTTACTGATGGTGCAAATAACGACTGACTAGGAGTAGGTCTGCTTTGTAAAAGAGACGATGCATTGAACGGAATTCCGTGCTTCTCATTATCTGTTAAGTTCTGGAGTTTTGCTTTGGGTTTCGTCTTGTCTGCAATTTTATCAGTAATATCAGGCTTGCGCGACTCAGACGTTGATTTTGATGCAGATCTTGGGTCGCTTGAGGAAACCCTGCAGTCTGACATCCTTAAAGGCGAATCCATTTTCCCTAAAACCTGTGAGTTAAACTTGACATTTGATGTCTGGGGGTACATTTCTGAACTTGATATATTGCTGCGAAAAGTTTCTCTGTCATGGTCATTGGATTTCTTTGTCTTCTTGGAAACTGTTGAAAGGTCTCTTGGTGTTGGACTGTGACGGCGATCCATGTCTGTTCTATTCTGCTTACTTTCGTAAGTCATACGAGGGGAATACGATATGTCATCCTCCGAAGATTCCGACTCTTCGCTATTCACCATTGGCGAAGATCTTCTGCCCTCGGTCTTACTTTTCCCCTCAGTTGCTCCGTTCGTTGATCCATTTGTCATTTTTTTCTTGTTTTCCTGATCTTTTTGCCATGCGTCCATGATGAAATTTTTCGTCCATTCGATTTGGAAAGGATTCCCTACAATTCTGTACGTCATAAATTTTGGGTCGAACACCACTTCAACATCACTGTCTTTCTCAAGGCTTTTCATCAGCGGGGGGTTCTCATCCAGCAGCTGTGTAATGGCTTGTTCCAGGAAGACAGAGACGTTTGCGAAAAGCTTTCAAAAAATTATATAAAATTTGATTAGTTTGTAAAATTTTTACAAAATGGCTACCACACTATTCGAAATGTAGATGTAATTGAAAAGATACCTGTATTGGAAGTTTACTCAATACCAATTTATTGCCACCTATGGAGTGATTCTTGTCAAAAGCATGTTGGTATCCTGTTGGAGATAAGACAGTATAAGTGAACAGATGTGAACAAAATACTAAAGTATATCAGTCAGATTGAAAAAAAAGTTAATCCTTAAAAAAAAAAGCATAACTCCATTGAAAAAAAAAATTGAGATAGATTTTGCGTTGATTCATGGCATACCATCATTTGTAAAAACAACAACAGCATCATTGTTCTGGAGAGGGTAGTAAATGTCCTCAATTTCTGTTCCTCCATTTTCGGATTTTTCAAAATAGTCGTAGATGTCTCTAGGATTGGTCCCTGAAGGGACTCCGTGAACTCGGAAACCTTTTATGTCCATCTGAGTTCTGAAATGGCATAAACACAATTTGGATTTTATGCCAAAATATAGAATTTACACAAACGATGTTGCAGTGCAATATCCTGAAGACATATGTTTTGAACCATGCATGTATCAAGGTCACATTTCATGTACTAGTATATCCTTCTAGTATAAGAATCGTGAACATGCGTTTACCCAGTTGCAAACGTTTGGGAAATATGACCATATTTCTTTAGTTTGTTGTTTAACGTCCCTCTCGAGAATTTTTCACTTATACAGAGACGCCACCACTTGCCGATGGAGGGCTACAAATTTTGAACTATACTTGGCACTCATGGCCATTGAGCAGTAAGGGATCTTTTTCGTGTCAGCATTTACTGCGACACGGGACCTCGCGGTTTATACTGCCTCATTCAAAGGAACGGTCTCCACGTCCCACAGTGGGATTCGAACTGTGACGTAAGGATCAACTCCTTACCCCGAGCAGATGCTCTTACCACTGTGCCACTCGGGCTACCCATAATTTTTTTTTTTTTTTATTTTCAATATCGTAGGATATTAATAGCAAAATTTCTCCATTCGAACGTTATGGAAAAAATATGGCCATTTGCATACCCTTTAAAGGCAGAGATTTTTTTTACCGGGTGGTAAATTCCGGGCAAACTAACAATTTAACTTTATGACAAACCTGATGACTCCAACACGACATAAAAGCCATCACAGATTATGGCACATTTGTTTCTATATGCTTTTCTATGGAACGCCATAGCTGCCTTGTGTGGTTATTTTATATGAAGATGGTGCTCTATTATATTATGATATGCTTATTTTATATGAAGATGTATTATATTACGCTGTGCTTACTAGTATTTTATATGAAGATGGTGCTCTATTATATTATGCTGTGGTTATTTCATATGAAGATGGTGCTCTATTATACATGTATTATACTGTGGTTATTTCATATGAAGATGGTGCTCTATTATATTATGCTGTGTTTATTTCATATGAAGATGGTGCTCTATTATATTATGCTGTGGTTATTTTATCTGAAGATGCTGCTCTATTATATTATGCTGTGATTATTTTATATGGAGGTGGTCCTATTTAATACGCCATTGCTAGTTCCCTTTTTTTTTCCATAGGCCCTTTGTTTCAGTCAGTATGGTGTATTTTGTGTATTATGTTTTTTTTCCCAAGCTGTGTCTGAATAAACTCGATAAAATACCGCAATAAAAATTAGTATGTTTTAAAAATGCCATATTACTGTCTATATAAAAAAGAAATGAAGTTACGACAGTTGCAATCTTCGATATTACGAGGTGCCCGGCTCGGTTCACTCTTGATTTTAATCAATATCTATACACTTTTCCTACCAGTTTCGGGCAGAGTTTCGGGTAAAATCTACATTTAAAAGTGACTAAATAACGCCCTTCAATCGTCTACAAATTTGAACTTGTCGTATGAAATATGCACTTAATTAAGCAATGGACGATTTATAATAGAATGTAGAGGTGTCCCAGAAAGACAGACAACAAATCCCTCTAGATTTTCCAAAAAAGTTCCGTCGTACCTACACTCTTAGTATTTACAGTAAAACGACATTTTTAAAACGTGCTAATCTTAGCGATCGTTTTTATTTTTATGTTTTCGAGTGCATTTAGACACACTTAGGAAAAACCATTAATACATAAAATACACCAACCTGAAACCAAGTGCCTAAGGAAAAAAAAGAGAGAAAAACTAGCAATGGTGTATTAAATGATTTTAGTTACAGCAATTACTAGAACTAGTATGTGTTTTACTTTCAACTTTTCGAGATAATAGCTGATAAACTCCGAGTCGGTATTAAATTTAATCTTAAAATATATGAGGAATACCTTAAAATTGAATATTTTTTTAAAAAATCACCTTCACATAAAAAAAACCACCTTCACATGAAATAACCACAGCATAATTAAAGCACCACCTCCATATTAAAAAACCACAGCATAATATAATAAAGCACCACCTTCATATAGAATAACCACAACATATAATAAAGCACCATCTTCATATAAAATTACCAGAGCACCATCTTCATATAAAATAAGCACAGCATAATATAAAAGAGCACCATCTTCATATAAAATAAGCACAGCATAATATAATGGAGCACCATCTTCATATAAAATACCTACAGCATAATATAATGTATAATACAACACCATCTTCATATAAAATAAGCACAGCATAATATAATAGAGCACCATCTTCATATAAAATAACCACAGCATAATATAATAGAGCACCATCTTCATATAAAATAAGCACAGCATATGATATAATAGAGTACCATCTTCATACAAAATAACCACAGCATAATATGAAATAGCCACATAACATGCATAAGGCAGCTATGGCGTTCCATACTTTTCTATAGAAAGATATTGTGGACAAACTAACGGTTTGACTTCATGACAAATATGTCGACTTGTGCCTTTCTAGCGACAACTTCCCCTTTTTATCTAGTAATACGCAACCATCATTTGCAAATGGAGTTTAATGATTCGATATGTATCCGAAAGAGCAAGTTAAAACTATGTTAACATTTTTTAAAAACAAGACAGACTATTGGCATATTAGCTGATGATGCGAAGTTATCAAGTAAGGCCAAAGTTTTTTTTTTCTCTTGGTTTACGATTCCGCCGACCCTATTTTTCCTTATTTACGAAAATAAAAATAATGTGTCTGGCTCGAAATTTTCTTGACCAAACTAAAATTTACAAAACATTTTAATCATTAACCCAAACTCTCACAAACATTCAATGAACTCGACAAATACAGATTGTCAAACCACTCCGTCGGAACTCCTCTAGATTTTACACTTCCAGGTATGAAAAAGTCCATCGTTACAAGTAGTCTCGTTCAACCAGACCCTCGGCTGTCTCCGTAAATCTCCGACCACCCAGAAGGGTCTGGTAAAGATACGTATTATCGTTTGTGACGCCAAAACGAGGCTTACCGAAATTCTGGTAAAGTTTTTGATTGGCTGAAAAGAACACACCTACACCACTGTACACGATTTAAATAAATACATGATAAATCAGCAGAAAAATAGCTTAAAGATGTAAAAGTTATATGTCTAAAAGTTAAAGATGTTAGATAGGAATTGTTTGCGGTAATGCTCACCAGTTATAGGTAAGTGTGTTTTATTATGTCTTGCAAATATTCTGTACGAAAGCAAAGTGAAAAGGGGAGCCTTTCCTGCGTAAAACACTTTCCCTTGATTAAAAATTTGAATTT